ATAGAGACAGAAAAACCATTTGATAAAATACAACGCTTTTTTTTTTTTTAAAGATGACCAGTAAGGGGATCTTAACCCTTGACTTGGTGTTGTCAGCACCACACTCTCCCGAGTGAGCCACGGGCTGGCCCAAAATCCAACACCTTTTAATAATGAAAACACTCACTGAACTCAGCCAGATAAAGGGCATATTATTTACAATGGCCAAAAAGAAGAAACAACCTGGTACAGAAAAATGTTAACAGAGCAGGCCTGAGATTGCTAGCTTTAGAAAGGTCTGCTTTCAAGGGTGACCCCTTACTTGGCATCTGGGAACTTGGCTGTTAAAAATTTCCTTCCACTAATATAAAATTTTGTGGTTCATGCCAATCACTTGCTTTCCTTCTGGGAGTCTGGAATTTGGGTACATGCTGACCATAGGGTGCCTAAATAACAAGATCCCAATAAAAACCCTGGGCACTGAGCTTCTAATAAGTAGCATTCACAATGTCGCATACGGTTTTCACTAAGCTCAAGGCTACGGTACAAGCAGTGATAGACAATTCTCATATGTTCTCACAACACACTGCTGGAGGATTAAGTGTGCCCTGAGTGACTCTATAGGAGAGGACTCTTGGAAACTTGTGCCTGGTCACTTCTAGACTTTGCCCTGTGCACTTTTCCTTTTGCTGATTTTGCTTTGATTCTTTTGCTGTAATAAATCCTATTCATGAGCACAACTATATGCTGAGTCCTGTGAGTCCTTCTAGCAAATCGTTGAACTTGGGAGTTGTCTTGGGAATCCTGGATACAAACCTAAATGTTCATCAACTGATAAACAGATCTTAAAAATGTGGTACATCCATACAATGGAATATTTTCAGCCATAAAAAGGAATGAAGTACTGGTATATGCTACGACAGAGATGAACTCTGAGAACATTAGGCTGAATAAAATAAGACAATCACAAAAGACCACATTTTGCGTGATTCCATTATAAGAAATGCCCAGAATGGGCAAATCCATGGAGACACAAGGTAGGTTAGTGGATGCCATGGTTTGGGAGGAGAAGCAGGGTAGAAGGGAATAGGACGTGACTGGTAATGGTTACAGGGTTTCTTTCCAGAGTGACGAAAATGTTCCAAAATTTATTGTGGAGATGATTGCAAAACTCTGTGAATATACTAAAAACCATTAAATGGTATACTTTAAATGGGTGAATTACATGGCACCTGAATTATGACTAAATAAAGATGTTTTAAAAAACAAGATCCTGATTATAGTGGGGGGGCTAGATGGGACATAATGGGGAAGATGGGAGCATTTCCAAATCCCCTCATGGCCCTTGGCCTGTGTTCCTTTAGACCCACCCAAAGAAAAACACATTTCTCTTCCAAGAAACCATATGGGCAAACATGTTGAGAAAAAATACATGTTTCTTTCATATAAATGGAGAAATTTGGGACTGCAGGTGGATTTAAATACAGACAATGTCAAAGAGAATTTCTAAAAGACAATTGATTACTTAGTAAAAGTGGTTCAGATTTCTTGAAATCATTATGCCAAGTGAAAGAAGCCAATCACAAAAGACAATATATTGCATGATTTATTCAGATGGAATGTCCATAACAGGCAAATCTACAAAGGCAGAAAGTAGATTAGTGGTTGCCAGGGGCTGGAGAGACTGGGGTATGCAACATCTTTTTGGGGTGGTGAAAATATTCTAACATTGACTGTGGCAATGGTTGCACAACTCCTTGGATATACTAAAACTCACTGAATTGTGCACTTCAAATGGCAAATTGTATGGAATGTGAGTTACATCTCAATTCACCTGTTCAAAACAGTGGTTCAAAGTGAACTTTTCCATCTGACCTGCTTCCCTAGGTCCCTCTGTTGGGATCCCATGAATATTCAATGTCTGCAAATACTGCAAATTCATGATCTTCAAAGGTGGGATACAGCAAGATTATACGGCAAAGAGCTTTCCAAAAAGGGCCACACTTTATCTACCCAAGAACCCAGGGAGCACACATTGGCCCAGGCATGGGGATTCTCAGCTGGGTCTCCAGGGGACCTTAGGTGGAGCGTCTATAACAGGCTCCGAGGGGAGGCCTGGGCCCCGAATCCTAGAAGAAATTCTGTATGTAGGTGGAGAGAGCATCTACACTTTCATCAGCTTCCTGAAGGAGCCCGTGACCCAAAAGGCATTAGGAACCATGAGGCACATTTGAGGGAACTACCAGGGAGCTTTTTCCTCCTAGCGTGGGGCGTGCCGAGCGGGAGCAAGGAGGCCTGGCTTCCTCAGCCATGCGGCCGGCGCCATGCTCACCTAGTTCTGAGTAACAGTTCTGGTGGGGAAGATGGAACTTGGGGCTAGACTCTCAGGTTTGCCCTCAAGCCCAGTTCATTAGTGGGTGTGTCTTGGGGAAGACATTAAAAAAACTCTTAGCCTCGGCTTTCTCATCTATATCTAATAGGATTGTAACAAGCACCTTGCAGAATTCCACTTAGCGTGGATTCCACATCCCTCCCTCCTCCTACCCGTGCCCTCCTCCCTTGTCCCTCCAGACTCACCTCCCTCTCTCCTTCCACCTCTGTGTGTGTGTGTGTTTGTATTTAGGTATGTATGTGTATGTGTGTCTGTGTGCGAGTGTGTATGTATTATGTGCACGCAGGTATGCGTGTTACGTGTATGTGTGTGTGTGTATGTATATATAATGTGTATCGTGTATGTGTGTGTGTATTTGTGCATGCACCCATGTATACGCCTAGCTCAGTGCCTGGGCACGTTTGATAATCCTCCATAAAAATCAGCTGAATTTGAATCTCAAAACACCCCACACATGTGGGAAGAGAAACACACCAAATGCCTTCCATTAACTCACTTTAAGAATGCTTTTATAAACAAATAGCTCAGAATTCACTAATCCCATTCTGGCTGCTCTAGGACATGCCTTTGACTCCCTAGTGTTGGGCCGCAGGAGACAGTGGTGGAAAGGAGAGGTTAAACTGAGCTCTGGAGACATGAGGCCCTGGGTGGGCATCCAGCTTCAGTACCTCCTTGCTGGACAAATTCAGCAGCCTCTCAACAATGAGGAGACTCATACTAGCTCACTGGGCTGGTGTGAGCACTGAGCGAGTAGATGTTTACCCTGGGTTTGGCCCATAGTCAGTGCTCAGAACACCAGAGCAATGAGTGCTCAATACATATTGAACTGTTAACAGCTCAACATGCAGAGCTAACGCACAGAGCTATTAACAGTATGCACGATGCCCATGTATGCTAAAGAGCAGTGGGGCCAGGCATTAAGGACAGATACAAGGCAGGTGCCCATGAGATGTGTGCCTGTTTGCTGACACTGAAAGTCCTTCTTGAAAGCTGTCCTACTCCTTCACAACATGCTGTTTTCCATACAAAGAGCAAGAAAAAGGCTACTGTTTCCTTATCAAGAAAAGGCAGGTCAGTTTTTGCAGGATTTCACTTGACAGCCTCTCAATTTTAGACAACTGCACCTTTCTGAGCATACACATTGCTGCTTGCTGTTTTGCCAAGCCCAGGGCTGTGGTACAGACAGCGAATGCAGCATCCTTTGTAAACAAAACATGTTAAGCAAAGCAGAGCTGGTGCCTCCCTGGCATGCACCTGCTGTCCCTTCTTGCTTGGAGTTCATATACAATCCACAATTGAAAAGAAGTCATTTTGTCAAGGCCTGGGGCTCAATAAGGCCAGAATTCAGGTCAAAATGAAGGTGAGGCTTATTTTAGATTAAATATTGATTTAGAGTATGAATACCAGGAGATGGGGTCTATGTGCACAGCAAATGGCTTGGTGATTTTTGTGCCTTCTCAAGGCTTGGCATATCTGAAACAAAAAAGTGGAGGACTCAAAGGAAACAACTTTTCTAATTGCTGCTTCAGATGTTTCTGCTTGTAGATGTGACATACTGAGACAGTGCACATGTGGGGAAAGGGGCACTTGCCCAGGGGGTATGCTGAGTCCCCTCTTAGGGCCTCCCCACCATGAGACTGTTCCCTAGCTCATGTCCCCTTGTGCTGCACTCAGGCCTCACACATGAGACACACTAACTCTGGAACGGCAGAACATCCCAACACAGGGAGGCCTGAGATGGGCAGGCCTGCGGGTCCCAGGGGCCACAGCTGGAGGCTGACACAACCTCAGGGGCACAATCTCCCTGGTCTAACGGCTCAGTGAAGAGAGAGCCCTGTTTCAAGTGTGAGCTCGCCCTGTCCCTGTTAACTGACCCAAAACTGTGGTGTGTAAGTAAATTCCCCTTCCCCAGCTCAAGGAAGTGGGAACAGGAAGATCCCAGGGCTGGGATGGTGAGGACAGTGGGAGGAGAGCAAATGCCCAGGGTGAGTGGGAGGCTCCCATCTGGAGAACAGGGGCTTCCATTTCCCATCAGCCTTGCCGGCTCAGGCCCTCTGCTACTCTAACTGGGATTTAGGGTCCACCAAGTTTTAGGTAACCTCAAGGTTTATCTCTGAAGGCGAAACAGAACGAGAATGGGCTTTTAGGTCAGAATACCACTTAGGGCAAGTTACTGATCTTTGCTAAGCGTCACTGGCCTTGTCCGCAAAAGGTGGTCTAGTACCAGTTACCTCCGGGCTAAACATGATAAAGCACAGGACAGTGTCCAGCCAGCGCTCAGTTTGCACCTATGCTCTCCTCTGCAGTGCCCCTCATGCAGGACGCCGGCCTGTCTCTCTTTTACTCTCACCCCCGGGCTTAGCAATCAGAACCTGCTCCTCCATGAATCAGGCTTGGAGCATCCATTCTGTTTTGCCCCAGGCTGTGTGCAAGCTACTGGTGGGCCCCAAGCGGGCTCTGGCTCTTATACTTAGCTCATCTGTAAAGTGGAGTCACTTGTCATTGGCTCTGGCTACCTCCTGGGGTTGTTGTGAGACTCAAATGGGACAAGACAGCTGGAAGAAGCAGAAGGCTCATTGCAAAAGTAGGGAATGGTGGTCGCCGCCCAAAAGAAAATGCAGGCACTGACCTCGGATTCCGATGCGTCCACTGACTTCTCCTTGAGGTTCACGCTCTCGGTCAGCACAGCGCCATTGTACTTGTTGCAGATGTCCTCGTCTGAGTAGTGCAGGCCACCAGGGCTCGGCCGGGGTGGGGACCTGGCGTGAGGATGGATGCTGCAACTTATCCTCTGGGCAAAAGACACCTTCCCCCAGAGACTCCTAACCTGCCAACCAGCCTTCATCAAGTTGGAATATGAGGAAATCCACAGGCTTTGACACCACTCTGGCAACCGATGCAAAAAATGATGAGCACTGGCTCTCTAATGTTCAACAGCCTCCACTTATTGGGCGCCTGTCACTCTCAGGGGCTGTACCAGGCCTGGAGGCACTGGGGGCAGTGAGCCAGTCTGCCCCAGGGAGGGGCCAATGAGACACTAAAGTGCACAGAGTACCGAGGTCAGGACCAAAGGAGGTTCAGGGTGCTTGGCTCTCACAGGGTCGGGAGGGGGAAGGGGGATGCATTGGACAGGGATGAGGACAAGGTCATGGGGGAAGGGTCTGATCCGCTGAGCTAAGGAGTGTGGATTGTATGCCACTGATAAGAGGAAATCAGGGAAGTTTGTACCAGGCCTGGTGCCCTGCTTAGTGGGGGCCAGGACCCGAGGCTGGGCCAGGCAAGCAGGGAGGCTGCTGAAATATTAACTCCAATTAGACAGAATTCCAAGTTGGCCCCTACCACTGTCTCCTGTATCACCTCCTCCTCCTGAGTGGGGGCAGAGCCTGTGACATGCTTCTAACTAGTGGAATATGGCAATGGGGAGGGAGTGGCATTGCCTCGATCAGGTAATGTTATGTGGAAAGGGTAATGGACTGTCACTCCCATCACTCATGATCACATGACATTACATGAGACTCCGTCTTGGCAGACTGGAGACAGAGATGCTCCTGCTGGCCTTGCAGAAGCAAATAGCATGTGGAGAGGCCCCATGGCAGGGGACCATGAGTGGCCTCCAGGACCTGAAGGCAGTCTCCACCAATAGCCAGGGAGAAGCTGGGGCCCTAGGCCATGTGGCTACAAGGAAATACATTCTGCCCACAGCCTGAATGAGACTGGAAGAGGACTGTTGCCTAGTTGAGCCTCCAGATGAGAATGCAGCCCAACCAACAACTGGATTATGGCCATATGAGACCTTGAGAGGAGGACCCAGTTCAGCTGGACCCCTGACCCACGGAAACAGATAATAAATGTGTGTTGGTTTAAGCTACTAAATTTGTGTCGATTTATCACACAGCAGTAGAAAATGAAAACACTCTTCAGCTCCCAACTTCCTGCTGACTATCATCTTGTAGCTGAGTAAAAGCCCCGTTTTTAATTTTCAGATGGAGAAATTATAGCTTGGGGGGAAAATATGAGCACAAAATTGCTTAATTTTTGAATCAGGCAGGATTGAGTGTTTCTTATTCCCCCTGAAGATGTGCATGGATCTGTCAGTGAGAGCGGCATGTGCACTCACAGGGACCTTCCTCGTGTCCTGACCCTCGTGCTGTGATGCGTGCAGACCGGGGCAGTGGCTGCAGACAGAGTATCCTTTCATCCCCCAATGGGAAGGGTCCAAGCAAGGAGAAATTATGTGTGGTGGCATTTTCATGTTTCTATTACACAACAGGAAGAACTTGTTCTTAGACAAATGAAATGAAAGAAGTGACCAGATACACCACGAGCTTCTATTTCCCACCCTAAGGAAAGTAATTTGTGGGTGGCAGCCTGCTCTGCTTTGGACCGACCACCAGGTTGTACTGGCAGAGGGTCAGCTGCAGGTAGAAGACCCACTTGGGTAAACTGCCTCCCCCAAAGAATGAGGTGTCTCAGTCAGTTCTGGGCCTCAGCACCTCTCACATGATTTGAGATTCCCAAATTGAGGTAGAGAATGGGAGCAGTGTAGACAATCTCAGGTACTGCTCACCACTGTAAGTTTTAAAGACCATGCAGGGATGCTGAAACCTTTCAGCCCATTTGTTTTGGTGATGTGCAACTCCATGTCCTTGTAATTAAAAGTAAATCCAAGTCAAGTCTGGCCCAGGAAGAAGAGGCACTCAGTGCTGGTGGACCCAGGAAGAGCCCTGAGCTGTCTATTCTCCAGGTAAAGCATCCTCAGGTGTTTGGGTTTTTTCCTACTGGACTTTAGCAATCCTGGCCCTTCTCCTCGGTCAAGGGTGATCAGATGGGAAGATGGTGCTCTACAAATCAAAAAGCAAATCAAGGTTTTCCCCTCTCTTCTCTGGGAAGTCTTACTACCAGCTGATGTTAGGAAAAGGGCGGAAAGATTAAGAGGCTTTGGTGGTGAAAATCATTCTTTTCTGCATTCACATCCAGACATGAAATGGCAATCTACGTAATTACAGGGAAACTTTGGAATACATAAAGTGATAAGAACAACCACCACCATCACCCTTCCATTCTAGAACACTAGATCAAGATCAAGCCTGCTGCAGCCTAAGGTGACATCTACATGAACAAGGAATTCCCCAGTTCGAGGTGCCCAGCCAGTTGACAGAGCAGGCCAACTCCCACACGCCTGAGATCCTGCCCTCTTTTTATATCTAGAAATGCACTAAAAATGTCTCTCCATCTGCCGATCCTGTCCATCCTAGATTCAATGCTTCCTCTGGTTGGTTTAGAATCAGTGGGATACGGCGGGTACCAGAAGGTGCAGGGCATGACCAGCCAGCACACCAGCCCTGGCTGGCTTAGGTCCTTGGGCAGACACAGCACCCTGGGGCTGTGGCCACTGCCTCCCTACCTGGCGTACATTTTCCTGCAATGACATAGATTGCCTACCTGGTCCCATTCTTCTTTGAGAAGGTGCTCTTGACATTGAGGTGGCGGCTGTTGAGCTCCAGGGCAGCAAATCCGCCATTATCCAGGGTCACAGACTCCTCCATATTGGAAATGCTCTTCCCTAAAGCCCAACCAGGAAAGCAAGCACAGAAGTTTTATTAATGTACCCACTGCAGGGATGCTGAGCCTGCGTTAGTCAAGGACAGGAGTTCCTGAGCTCCTGCTATACATAAATCCCAGAGCCGTGCAAGATCTACTTCGGCTCCTAAGGCAGTTAGAGCTGAGCTGAACTGGGGAGAAAAGCTATGTATTGATTACAATGCTGGAGCAAGGCAATATTAGCACAGCAGTGTTTATTTTGCCTGACTCCAAAATAGCAGTGTTCTTGCCAGTATTTTATGAAAATGTATTCAGAATGCATAAACTTTTTTAAAGTCCGGGAAACTAAATATTTAATAAATTTCAAAATAAAAACTTCACAATCGTATTATAAAATAGGAAGTACAAGTAAACGTTTAGGGGCATGACAGCTAAAGAAAGGTACAGGTCTCCTTTTAGATGACAGAAATAAAATTGACTGTGATAATGGGTGTAATCTCTATCAATAAAATACTGAATTGTACACTTTATCAGAACCACACTCACCCGAGTGAGCCACGGGCCAGCCCTTGAATTGTACACTTTAAACAAATATAAACTTACAAACACATATCAAAACATATTCTAAAATATATTATCAGATCAAATGAATATAAATAAAGTTATGAGAAACCAAACAACATAAAAAAACTTCCAATGGCCTCCCATCTCATTTGGTGGGAAGCCCAAGTCCTCACAGCTGTCCTGGGCTTGGGCCTGGTCTGTATCCCCCATCCCAACGTCATCATCTACCACTCCCCCCTCCCTCATGCTGGCTCAAGCTGAGCATGCTCACCCCGGGGTTGTCCTACTTGCTGTTCCCTCTGCCTGGAAGCCCTTTTCCCAATACCCTCCTGGATCACTCACACTGTCCTTCAGAGCACAGCTAAGGTCATGAGACCAGAGATCCCTTCCTGGCCATGCTGCAGCAAGCTCTCCTTCCCCTGCCTCCTGCACTCCCAGCATTCTGTATTTCCCCCAAGGTGCTCATCACATCACCACCTGGGGTACTTCTCACACATATATATGTGCTTATTTCTTTTAGTCTCCCTTATACCGTCCCCTAACAGCTCTCCGAGGCATGGACTTCATCCATCACACTTCCTGTCCTGCTAGCCTCTAGGACAGTGCCTAAGCACACACCAGGGGCTTGACAGGTACCTGTTAAGTGCGTAGACATTTCTAAACCCCAAGGGGTTCCTCTCTGCGAGGGACCTTGCACCTGTTCAACATGAATGTGCTTTAATGCCCTATTTGTGTGCAGCAGAAAAAGCCAATAGAACACAGAACAGCAAATGAAAAATGAATTTGCCTGTGAGTGGGGATTTGGGTTGAGGGTGGGGAGCAGGTGAAAGCCAATATCAGAAAGCAATTCAGATGCAGACAGTAGGAAAAGGGAGTACATGCGAGAAGGGTTGTAGAATGATGCTGTCATAGCAGAGGTTTAAGTTCTGCATGTCTCCCAGGCAGGTAGGGAGACATTCTGGTAGACAAGTGTTTTTTTCCCTAGGCTTCAATTATGATGTTAAATTAATACTCCAGGCTAAGGCTGAGTATCAGAAGCTGCAGGTCAGATCTGTCTTTTCAAGTCTGTTTTCCAGACGGAGGAGAGTGAAAAGCAGGGAGATTTTCTATGCGCCATACATAGGAGCCTGTAATAGCATTAACTCACTAAAATGACATGCCATTCATACATTGTAAATCCCACAGGAATAAAATCTGATTTACGAACACTTGTTAGAAGTGAATTTATACAGAAAAAAAGAAATCCTTTCTTTGAGGGATGAATTGCTGAACGTTACAGAAGCAAATGGCGAGGCATGTGGGGTGCCTGGTTTTATTAACCCCTTCAGCACAAGGACAGTGGTGCTGCTGGCTGGGCTCAGGTGGCCAGGCTCTTCTCCTACAGGACCTCATCAGGGAGCTGCCAGGAAAGCTGATGGGAAAACCTCCCATGACAGAGCCGAGCTGAGAAAGAGGCCAGTCCAGCAGTGTGGTGACATCAGAACTGCCCACATCCTGCACTCAGTGACAGCTCTGGTGGCTGCCGCGTGGGATTAAAACAGGCTGCTTTCTAGAGCTCAGTTATATTCTGGTTATGCAAAGAAGTTGTCCGCTGGTAATTACGAGAACGTTTTTAACGTTGATGCCACTGAAATACACAAAGTTCGCTAATCTCAAGCGTTGTGGGGCATGATGTCTTCTCATTATGTGTGTAACCGGCGCCCTCATTGAAGCATATAGAGCATTTTCAGCACCCGCAAAGCTCCCTCACACACCCTCCTGTTTATGCCTCTCCACCAAGAGATCACCACAATTCTGCCTTCTAGAAACACCCACTCATTTCGGTGGTTCTTGACCTTCATATAAATGGGGTTGTACTGCATGTGTTTTCTTGTGGCTGGCTTTGGGTCCATTTGTCCATTTCTCTAACAATGGTGATTCATTCAGCAACAAACATTTACTGACTGAGCACCTATTCTGTGCCAGGTGTGGAGCTTGTGCTGGGAACACAACAGTGAACTGGCCCTCAGAGGGCTCAGAGCTGGATGGTGGGCTGGAAGGCAAGGTGCGAACTCCAGCACGTGGGAAGGGCTGTACCATGACAACATTTCTGTAACACTCCATGAGCACACCAAAATACCTGAGATGTGCCCCAGTTCGTTATTTTCATAACACTGAGTAGTACAGTATTTCTTCTCTTTAAGGCTTTATACTTCCTAATTGTATTAAAAAATACTATTGCACTTGAGCTATGGAGCAGAGGAGGAAACAGACTCAGAGAGTCCCAAATGACTCCAATGCCCTATCCAAGAACCAGGGTGAACCTGCGGGCAGCCAGGTCTAGAATCTGGGTCACTGAGGTCCAGAGCTCTTGTTTCACTATAACTTGCTGCCTCCAGAAAGAAAACTGTGGCATCTACCTTACACCTATTGGCAAAGGAAATGAAAAGCAGATGTTGGCACAGGTGACCCAGGAAGGAAAAGCAAACGTGAAAGTGTTAGCTCAAGGATGCCGAGGGCACTTTGGGAAATGGAAAAATGAAGGCAGACAGCATACCTGTGCCGCAGTTCTTGTATTTCTTATTTTGTCCATGCAAGACCAGAGTAAACACCACCAGCAGGATGATGATCAGGCTCGAGAGCGCCATCACCAGGAGGAACCACCACTCCTCATAGAACGGGGCTTCCACTTGAGCTGAAGAAAAGACACGGATACACAGTGATGTGTGGCAGAAACTCCAGATACAGCCATCTCCCCATGAACCAGGGTTGTGGGGTTCCCAAGGTGGCTGGGGAGGATGGACGTGATGGATGACCCCGGGTTACAGGTGAGGTGGGACCGCTGTGCATCTGGGTTATCGCAGGCTGGTGGACTCTTGTCCCTGGGACGAGGCTCAGGCAGCCTCAGTTCCTCAGCAGGCTTTGGGGATTAAGCAGCAGCACTTTCCCACCCTTTCTATGGAATCAGGCTCAGAGCTCCTCTGTCCCTCAGGCTACCCTCTTCCCTGGAGACATCTCAATTCTTGCCCTTGCTCTGAACTTGCCCCTCAAAACTACCCTTCATGTTTATTTCTTCCTAATTTCATCTGTTAAAAACACTGCCTGGGTTAAAGTGACAGAGGAGCACGAAGTGCCTGGGCTTCCTCTCCGTGCTCACACTCTGCTCCGAGACGGCCAGCCGGAGTCCCCTAGCCTTCTCCATCACCACCTCTCACCTGTGCCACCATGTCCCAATGTTTTGCCTCTTCCTGTCTTACTCAAACCCATCCTTTATAATCATCATATCTTTCTGAGAAGGAAATCAGTCGTGCCTCCTAAGGTCCTTGAGTGGCTCCCCGGAAGATACAGGGTAAAGTCTGAGCCCATGAAGCCCCCATGGTCTGACCTCTGTTCACGCCAAGCCCTAGATCCTGTCCGTCCCTGTACAGAAACCTCTTGTGATGGTCACAAGCACTCACTGGGTGTATTTGTCTACCTGTTGGCCTCCTCCCAGATCATCAGCCCCCGAAGCCTGGGGCTGTGTTTCATTTATTTTGTGCCTCCAGCAAAACTGAGTACAACAAGCAAACGGAAAGGACATTCTTGGGGGGGAGGGGAGAGAGGGAGGAGGAAGGGAGGTGTCGGTGACGGGCCATAATAATCATATACAGTGTATATTGACAAAATAAAAAAAAAAAAAAATTTTCTTGATGAAAACTGATTATGCTTGGGACAATTTTCATTAAAATTTCTATATTCAGGAAGGAAGAGTTGAAACATGCTCAAGGCCAAAGTGACATGGTTATAAGTTCTTAAAAAAAAAAAAAAAAAAGAACTAGTTGCCCCATCTTCAGATATGCTTTTGAGAAATGAATAGAAAAGGTTTCATTTAAAAGCTGCTTTGAAGAAGGATACTCTGCTTCCTTATGTCTCATTCTGTTTACTAAAAACAGAAAATTGGGAAGTTGTTTTTCTGTGGGTGCTGGATGGCCTGGGGTCTCATTCAGCACCTCCCATGTGCCTCTCTGCAGGGAAGCTGGTTCTGAAGCCCGAGAACATGCAGCTCCTTACAGGCAAAGCTCAAGGTCTGCCTCCCAGCTGCCAAAACCCACAGAAAACACATCTACCTTAAGTTAAATATCTCACTGAATAAATAAAAAATGCATGCACACTGGGAATAAAAGAGGAAATTGACTTTAGATAATGTAACACCGCAGGGTTTCTTAGGAGATGACAGTATTTTGAATCCAAAAAATGCAAGTGAGTTTTCAGGCTGTACATTAAATACTCCATATAACGAGTCCGGTAAATCCCAAACTGACCACCCTTAAGTGACCCAGGGTGGGCCTGGCTCTAGCACCTGACAGGAAAGAAAGGCTTGGGCTGTTCTGCAGGATGCTCCTGCTAGGGCAGGATATCCCCAGTGCCGCGCAGCCTGGATCCATAAGTGATGCCAGCAGGTGACAGTTGCTGGCTTCTCAGAAGGATGCAATAAGCTGACTGCAGTCCAGCTGGCAGCCAAGGCCAGCGTTGGATGCAGTAGAATTTCAGAGAAACGTTCCAGCCACATGCCTCATGAAGAAGGGTGCAGGGCCGTGTTCCATGGAAGGGACCAGCCTTTGCTATCAGTCATGCATGTGTGTGTGGATTGTATTTGGAATTGCTTTATATCAGTTTTTCATAGATGAACCAAGTGAGGCAAATCTTGAATTATCGAATTAGGGCAAGGGGTCCTGGGGGTTCCTTATTCTATTTTCTCTACCTTGGAGCATGTTTAAAATTTTCATGATAAAAATAAAGGAAATGAGAAATTTTTGATTTTTTAAATCTTACTCATTAAAAAATCTAGGAGTTCTCTGAGTCCCTTCCTTGAAGGCCCGTCTCACTGAGTGGCCCTGGAATTCAAGTGTGCTCCTAGACCAGGGGTCAGAGGTTAGGGCCCCTGAGCTCACACACAGACCCTATCTTTCTTCCAAACCCATGGCAAAGAAAGGATGAAGACTGTTTTCAAAGTAGACAAATGCTACCAGTAGCTTAAGCACATCTAAATGCAGGAGAAATGAAACATTTTTCTTGACTGTAAGGAAGAAAACAGATGGAGTCAGACCTTGGCTGGCTCCGCCTCTCACGGTTTCTGGCCTAGACTCTGCCTGCCCCTCCTGAAATTCCTTCTGCCTCTGCTTGCTGCCGTCAGCTCCCTTTTCTCAAATACCTTCCTGTGGTCGTCCTCCAACCCACCCCTCACTTAAATGTGGCTTGCAGGCTGGCCGGTTAGCTCAGTTGGTTAGAGTGTGGTACTGATCACACCAAGGTCCAGGGTTCAATCCCTGTGATCAGCCAAACACACACAAAAAAAGTGGCTCACGAACGCAGCTGCACATTAGAATCACTGTGGGGTTAAAAAATAATAATCCCTAGACCCCTGCCCCAGCCACTGAAATCAATGTCTGGGGTAGGGTCCCAGTGAGGGTATTTTCTTAACATTCCCAAGTGACCCTAAGGTGCAGCCAGAGCTGAAGCCCATTCCTTGCAGGCATAGGGTCCCACGTGATTAGTCCAGGCCACATGACTGGCCTTGTGCCCTGCGCCGGGCTCTTCCTATGACCAGGACTTCATCTCTGTGGCTCTCTCTGCCTCCTCCCAGGATTTCTTTTCCTCCTATGGCTACGCCCCCTGCACCTTTCTGGTCCCCCCAGGCGAGGGAACTTTCTCCCTATGTGTCACACCCCTTGCCACATCACTGGTGACCAGGGACACATCTGTCACCTCACTAACATGTGAGCTCCAGGAAATGAAACCTGGGCTTGGCCTTCTCCAAGCCCAAGCAGTGGGGCTGGTGCCTCCACATGTAATCCATCTACAGGGATGGCAACTGGCACCAGCTCACCCTGGACCCCGAGCAGTAACAGCTCCTGGGCCCCTCCACTGCCTCTCAGGAAGGCCCCAATAAAAGCCAGCCTCATATCGAGTGCTAACGCTCCCCAGTGACTGCTGGGGCCATATTTGCATTTCCAAATCTACACACTGCTCTCCATTAAAGATGTGTCAGCCAACATGGGGACCCAAGGCTCTGCTTTGCTTAGGACTGCCTTTGCCCCAGAGGGACACAGCTTAGCCCAAGCCAACCACACTGACTCCTGCATATAACTCCAATTTAAAAATATATATATATGAAGAAACAAATTAAGAATCATTTGAGCACAGTGTGGTGGGGAAATCTTCTCAAACGCTTAGTCAATTAGGGAGCCTTACTGGTGGTGCTGGTGACAGCTCTGGGGCCTGGGATCCTGCTAGAGAAGAGCTGGCCCCCCAGGGCTGTCAGGCAGGCAGCTGCCCAGGAGCACTGGTGGTACTAGGGAGGTGCGGGGGACAAACACCATTCTCTCCATGGGCACTTTCTCTAGGCAGGCCCCTTGACTAAGTTGGAGAGTTCTAAAGAAGCAAGGTGTGTGTCCTCTTTCTTTTTGCTAATGGTTCCTCTTCATCCTCCCTTCCTTCAGAAGAAAAGAGGCCTCCTCCCCTGAGACATCCCCCTAGAAGGAGCCCTACCTGACACCGCTGTGGAGGGGCTGCTGGGCTCTCCGTAGCCCACCTCGTTTACAGCCACCACCCGGAATTCATAGGTCACTCCTTGCCGGAGCTTTTCCAGGCTGACGGTGTAGGATGTGGCACTCCGGGGAATGTCCTTCACAAACATGTCCCATAAGCCTTCATCTGCATGAGGGATGATGAAAGGAGAGCAGAGGTTAGGGTGGCTTTTCTTCCCGATAGGAGCCCCGTGCATTCAGACACCCCAGCTGCCCAGCAGGTCAGCTCAGAGCTGCCTCAGACGAGGGCATCCTATGGGAATGTCAGAGGCCGGTGTGGGTGACGCAGGGGAAAGGGAGGGGGACAAGTTCTCTCCCTCACTGACAGATTCTGCTAAAGTTGCAAGCTGGGGAGTGGCATTTTCCTGAACATTCCCCTCATCCCTATTATGTTCCCATCAGATTCTCCGCCCTCCCCTCTGGTTTCTGATTTGATCCCATCTTTAGGATTTCTGGTTCCCTTCTGGCTTGCCGCTTTCCCAGCTCACTGTGTGCACACCCGTTCCTAATCCCGTGATCCCACCTCCCTGGCCTACCCACAACTCCCACCCTGGCCACCCCACCGGTCACTAGCTGGTCCCTGAAAACACCAAACATAGTTCTGTGTCCTTTAGTGAGCCTGGTGTGTCCCACCTGCATGCTAATTGGAAACAACAATCCAGCCAATGGGTCAAAGGGAAAACTTTAAACAGCTTCTTTTACCAACTGGATGCCAACTTTGGGGTGACGCTGACGTGACCACCACACAGTGGTGGGCAGTAACAGCAGTGCCCTGATTTCAGCTTTAAAACATCTACCCCGCGCCGTGTTCTTATTTACAGTAAAAGTGCTTGGATGGCAGTGGATGTGGAAGTGCTGGAATTGTGGGATCTACACATACTCCATGACAACCCTGCCAGGGCTCCTTTAGCTCACCCCAATTATATGACATGGAGTTTCTGACTTAATGGCAACCTCCCAAACCATGCAAAGTGCTACCCTCGATTTTGAGCATCCTTTGGAGTGGCTTCAGCATCAAACCTGCCCTAAGATCAGCAGTTTTTTAATCTCTAGCTCAGGTGCTACCAATACAAGTATAAATTTTAAAAAATATGTTGAATTTTGAACAGATACTTGTACACCCATGTTCATAGCAGCATTATTCACAATAGTCAAAAGGTCAAGACAACCCAAGTGTCCCTGGACAAATGAATGGATAAACAAAATGAGGTCTATCCATACAATGGGATACTATTCAGCCTTCAAAATTCTGACATGTTCTACCACATGGGTGAACCTTGAGGACATTACACTACGTGAAATAAGCCAGTCGCAAAAGGACAAATACTGTATGATTTCACTTATATGAGGTGTCTAGAGTAGTCAGACTCACAGACACAGAAACAGAATGGTAGTTTCCAGGCGCTGGGAGAACGGAAGTGGGGAGTTACTGTTTAATGGACATGGAATTTTAGTTTTGCAAGTTGAAAAGAATTCTGGAGCTGGATGCTGGTGATGGCTGCACAGCAATGTGAATGGACTTAACGTCACTGAACTGTGCACTTAAAAGTGCTTAACATGGTAAATTTTATGTTATTTATATTTTACCACAGTAAAAAAAAAATATTGAATTTATTTAAACCCTGACATACAGGAAAAACATGAATAAAATTGAAATAACAGCCAGAAAAATCTTAGACAGAGGGGAAGGAAGAAGTAAATGGTTTGGTTCTGCGGCATCTACCAACAGAAAAAAAGAAATATGATCAATGAAATCCATCATCAAAGAAATCAAAGTCACCACAGCCTTGTGGCTAAAAGGACAGAGTCTGGAGCTAAACAGCGTTGATGCAAAGCATGACCCCACCAATTAGCTGTGTGACCTCAGGCAGACTACTTAACCTCTCTGTGCCTTATCTCTAGAATGGTGATAACAAAGGCATCTACATCCTAGGTTTGTTTCAAGGATTAAATAAGTTAATATTTATAAAGCGCTTAGAACAGTGCCTCACACATAGTAAGCACTACATCAGTGTTTGTACAATAAAATATAAATCCAATCTCTGAGGAGGTCATTTGGCAAAAGTGGGATCAGAGCTCAGAATGTTCATCTGAGCAACCCTTTATTAATTATTTGTTCTTTTATAGGCACATGTATATGATCTTTTAAAAAGCAGGAGATCTGTGAGGAAAACACCGTTCGAATATGTATGTACACATGCTGACAGCTTTATGGGGTGCTGAGGGTGATCTGGAAACCAACCTTACAACACCACAAAACACCAGACATGCTCAAATGGACTAGCCCAACAGTAAACAGGAAGAAAATTGCTACTGTACCAATCTGTATTTGCAGAGGACTTAGAGTTTGTATTAAGTCCCTATAGTCATGGATTCATGAAGAAATAGATGTGAATGAGATTTTAGAAGTATAAACCTCTTTACAGGCAAGAAAGATAGTACAATGATTATTTCTAAATATTCACATTTATAGTCATTTCTCGCCAGATACCCATTACCACTAATAATGTCAAAACGGCAAGCCATAGCTTAAGCCTTTTATTTTCCTCCTACAGTACTGAGGTCTACACAAGGAATGACGGTTGTATGTGATTTGTAGTCTTGCATATGAGTTTTGCATAGGAACACTCAGTGTGTGTACACATTTACTCTGCACAGGCCACTCCCTCTGCCTGGAAAGCCCCCGTTACCCCCTCTCAGTCATCCATAAACACTTAAGTGCCCTCTTCGGTCAGGCCCTGTTCTACCCATCAGGGAATCAGATGAGATTTCTGTTCTCAATGAGCTACCTACAGTCTGCAGGCAGGGGGTGGAAGAAAATCAGCAAGGACGCTTTACCCTACAGTCTCATCCTTCCATGGCCAACCTTGGACCCCATCCCACACTCCAGGAAGGGCTGGCTGCTTCCGCCAATGGGCTTCCAGAGCACATCATCACATTTACCTGCAAACCATCAGGATCCCGAATTTGTCAAAAGTTCAATAGATATCTGTTGGCATCATCCATCCATCCATCCATCCATCCATCCATCCATCCATCCATCCATCCATCCATCCATTCTTGTGTCCTGTGGCCTTTCTCAGAGCCTAGCACAAACAGGCTTTCAGTAATAATAACTGTCCACAGTTTTATTTAGTGCTTACATGATCAAGTTACTACTAAGGGCTTTAAATGTTGAATGAATTGTGAAATGTTTTTCCTCTAAAAAGACAGATAATTTTATGCTGCTGTAAAAGAGACTGAAGGCAAAAATACAGACACTTATAAGCTTATAAGAGTTGATTAAAACCATTGAAACTAAGCGACTAAGAGTGTGAAAGATTTTTTTCAGAATGTTCTGAGGTTCACACCTCTGGAGCGGGTTTTCTGGATGTCTTTTTCAACAGTGTTTCTGTAATGCTTTCTTGTTACTGAGGAAAAAAGTTGATTTCCCCTTCCTCTACCATCACCTAAAGTCCACATTTTATTTTAGCACTCTGTCATAGCTCCAGGAATTGTGTGCATTTTTTATAAAAACATTTAAAAATATTTGTACAGAATCTCAACACAGAACGATTTATTTAGCAATCCATTTACGCTCAAAAATGTTGAGGGGGAGATGTCATAACATGGGAATTTCCTTCTGAATTAACAGAAGAACATGTTCATATTTTTATTCTGCTTAATTCTGCCTTTCCAAAATTAGCATATTCAGCATTTTATATGCCAGTTATAATTCACTGGGTTATTTATCCTTACTAATATTTACACCATGATCATGAGTAAGAAAAAAATTGGCAGCTATTGTCCACTCTGTTGTCTCAACTGTGAATTGTTTTTCTCATTTGTATTATGTTAAGTATCTCAATAAATCAATGATGGAGAAAAGTTTCTCCACAAATTAGGGGAAAAAATAACATCACAGAACTATTAGCAATAATGAGATTTGTGCAACTGATTTTCCATGTACCAGGATGATCTCCAGTGCTTAGATTTCCATCTCAGTCAACACTTGAGAGGACAGCTGGGCTTTGTACTTTTTAAAAGGCAATTCTGGGCCCACAATTCAGCCAGTTTTTAATCATCAGGTGAGGCTTGCCCCACTGGATATTCCAGGGACCCCAGCCTGGCTTTACTTCTCTACTGAGTGAGCTGCTACGTTACCACCACGGGAAAACCTATGACTGGCTGGAAAAGAACAGTCATGACCCTTTCAAAGCCACATTCCCAGATGACATATCTCCAGATGATTGATCCCCGGATGATTAACCCCCAGACTGATCCCTGGAATGATTGATCCTGGCACCAATCCACTTGCTGGGGCCAGGGCTTTGAACTTCCTGGGATAAAGTTTACCTCTAGGCTGGATCACTCTTCATGTCTGGGGAAGGGGTGGGTCCATGACAGGGCACGAGCTCGAATCACATCTGTCTGCTGGGCCCACCCTTACCTTCCTGGCCACCTGGAATTACACCTTCCAGGACTTTTGTAACTGAAACACTCGGAAAACACCACTAAGAAAGCAGGGAAACCATCGAGAAAGAAACTTTACAGAATTTTCCTAAGTAATCCATACCGTCATCACCAACCTGAAGTTCCATCAACCTCAGAAGGAGAGATGAGTGAGAATCAACACACACATGTTCCGCTCCTCAGCTGGGTGGTTTTTCTCTAAAGAATATTTGTCTTTGCTTCCTTCATTGCATTATTTGTCTACTGAAACAAGGAAAGCGGCTAATATTGAAGATCTCTGAAAAAAGAAATCTTTTCCAGTATAAATAGGCTTTGCTACCGCAGAGCATACTTGTTTCTAGCGGGTGGAATGAGTCAGCTTTTATCTTTCAGTGCCAATGTCTCCCCCACCCAAAAGGTAGGAGGCACATCTGTTCACAGACAATATCCCAATAAACCTGGAAACATGATCACCTCTTTTCTGAATTGAGACAGAGCCTAGTGCAGCATGTCCGAGGCTGCGTCGCTCAATTTATTCCTCCAACGCCCAGAACTGAGCTGTGTGCTGCAGGTATTAGGGCAGACGCCATGCCAATACAAAAGCTTGATTTCACAGACAATTAAACAGGGTCTCCATGCTGAATGAAACTGTCATTCAGCGCCCGTGATTTCTGGTTCCACTAACTCACACAAGCTACAACTTGACTGTCAGCCTGCAGCTCTGAGCAAATGGAAGCCTGTCAGTTATTTATTTCTTAAACACTGCCATTTCTCTTTGGATAAATGGCCAATCTAGGTTAGAAATTTAACTGAAACAGGTGGGGCTTAAACACGAGGCTAAATACATCTGATTAAAAAAAAATTACCTTTCGTCTGATCCTTGTTCAAGGCAGGGGAAAAATGAGGTGCATGCCTAAACTCGAAGATGGCCTGTGATGGAGACTGACCCCAGAAAGAAATGGGAAGCGAAGGCTGACAGGCTGTCAACACACATAGTTATGAGACAGACGGGAAGTGAACAAGCGCCAGCGGCACGAGTCAGAGTGGCGGCGCAGCCCTCTTGCTAAATGTGCTGACTTGGGAACTTCCATGGATGAGAAGCCTCTGGAAAAATACTGATTTTCTTCTTTGTTCAATGGAAAACTCCTGTCCCCAATGACTAAAAATGAACAAAATGCATGGGGAGGGAAATGGAAAAATGGAAAGTGGCTCAAGCCTCTGGCTGGGGAGTGTCCCATCAGGGCTGAGGGACCGTCCTCCACCTAACCGGCCCTCATCTGGGGCTATCTGCATTATTTGTGAGAAAGCGATACAATGCCTGCCTGCACTGGGTACATCCTAAATGTGTATTTCACGGCTGCTTTGCAGAGGAAAATATATTTATAGTTCCTTTAGTGCCATTCCAGTCTATTGTGTAAATATGTAAATTAGGTTTCATGATCTACATAGTAAAATGCCTTAGAATAATTTGTGTAAATAAATCATCTGCATATGCCCACTGCATAGTTTCCACTGCCTTCCAGGGAGCTTTGCTACATTGATTCAGAGGAAACTTATGCACAACCAGAAAAATGAATGTGTTGGCCAGGCCATCCTGGTGGAAGCTGACGACAATGTCCTTGTGCGCACACTCACAGACCCCCCTCTCCCAGAATAAGAGCGGATCTATGTTCTAACCCGATGCTAATTTCATTAGCTGCTGTTCAATTCTGTATCTTCACATTATGGCAGCAACGGAGGCTCTTCGGTAGAATTCGCAGAGGTTAAAGTGAGGATGCAGACAGAAGAGCAAGAGGCTGCGCTGCCATCTGCCTGGGTGGCCTGAGCCTGCTGGCCACCTCTTGGCAGCAGCCACAATGCTGATGAGCTTATGGTCCCCCCAGGAAAGACAGAGATGTGGCTGGATGGGGAGACGTTAGACTGAGCAGACTGCCTGGCCACAGGGGCCACCCAACATGACATGCCTTAGTCTTCCCAGACGAGGCCCTCCTAAGAAAAAGCAGGTCCATAGTACCTTCAGCAAATCCCTCCCCTGCTTGGAGAACGTCTTGCCAGAGAGCTTCGGTGGAGAAAATGAGATGATACAGCATTTAATGTTTTGTGTAATGAGGCCTGTAATGGATGACAGCTGAGATCCAAAGCCCTCAGGTACCGGCAAGGTGTTTAAATATTGACAATCCATAAAAGTGTTTCATCTCACTATGAGTTGCTGCAGGCCTTAGTTGCAGAAGGGAGGGGGCGTCTTCTCAACTTTCAGTGAAAGACCACAGGTCCAGCAGCCTGCTCCAGTTCAGTTAATGATCTGAAAGGGGAAATCGTTGGCAACCTGCTTTTGAATGTCCAGTAGCAAAATGGAAGTGAAAGGAAAATCTTTAGCGCTCATTGAAAAAGACAGCGTCTTCCAGGTCAGTCTCTTGCCATGTCTTAGTACCCCTCTGTGGGTCAGTTTCCACATTCTGGCACCATCCCTGCTGAGCTCAGGCCTCCAGCTGACTTCAGAAGGCTTCTACACGTTTGGGCAAGCCCCTCCGAGGCATGGGGCTCAGTGTGAAGCCCGAGCCAACAAGCCAATTAGTTCTTATTCACACTGCCTTCCAGATTCCCTGAAGTTGCACCTCTGACCAACAGGCATCCTGTTTCCTTCATTAGGGTGGATGGATGAGCATATGATAACCTGAGGAGAAATTAAATGGCTCTCCAGGCAAGCCTGAGAATCAATACCTTATCATTTTTGGAAGTGCCAAAATGAGTTCACTAGTGTTGAGATGCTAAGCCCAGGCCCCATTTCTGGCGGGGGGTGTGTTACATTCCGCACAGGCTGATTTCTGACGTGACAGTGCTCGTTTCAAAGACACACTGGCTCATTCAACTAAACGGAGTGACACCATCCATGGCTTTTAAAAATTATTATTTTAAATTAAATTTTTTATTTTGACATATTTGTAGAGTCCCATGCAGTTGTAAAAAAATAATGCAGAGGGAGCCCATGTATCCACCCATTGGGAATATCTTGCAAAACTGTACACAAAATCACAACCGGGATATTGGCAGTGATCAAGCCAAGACACAGAACATTTCCTCTTGTAGCCCTTTTATAGCCACATGTCCACTGGGATTCTTAACTTCTAGTTAGGGAGGCAGGCATTCAGGTAGAAGGCAATTACTTAGCAAGACTCTTCTGTGGTTTTCTAGTGCAGGCATCTTAATCTGTTCTTGGGGCCATGGGGCCCTTCGGCAATCTGTTGACTCTAAGGACATTTTCTCAGAATGGTTTTAGATGCATAAAGTAAAATTAGAAGGAAGCCAATTACATTGATAATGCTTACAGTTACTTCGAGGCAATTGGAAGTTCTCAGTAACATCTGTCTCCTGGTAATGCTGGAGTCGTGGATCATGGGTAGTTTTCTTTGCACTCCTTATTTAGCTACGTGGTTCTTTGGAAGATGTGTGGAAAGGGTTGAATTTAGGTTACTTGTGACTGCTGTTGAAGTCTATGCTTCTGCATAAACTTGTTAGATGACAAGGTCTAGCAGAGAGTCTACAAATGACATAATTTTAAAGCAATGACCAGTATAAATGATATTGGAAAATATCTGCAACAGCTGGAATGTCATATGAAAAGTATCTGTGGTTTCTATTGCTTACAATGGCACAGGTCCTACTTGTGTGGTTTCTTGTCTACTATTATGGGTTGAATCATGCCCCTCTGTCCCCCACTGCAAATTTATATGTCTAAGTCTGAACCCCCAATACCTCAGAATGACCTTATTTGGAAATAGGCTCATTGCAGACATAATTAGTTGAGGTCATACTGGATTTGGTGGGCTCTAATCCAATATGACTAGTGTCCTTATAAAAGGGAAATCTGGACACAAACATACACACAGTGGGAATGCCATGTGAAGATAAAGGCAGAGGTTGGGGTGGTGCATCTATAAGCCAAGGAACACCAAGAATTGTCAGTAACCACCAGAAGCCAGGGGAGAGGCATGGAACAGCTTCTCCCTCAAAGTCCCCAGAAGGAATCAGCCCTGCTGACACCTTGATCTTGGGCTTCCAGCCTCCAGAAGTACGACACAAAAAATTTCATTTGCTTAAGCCACACAGTTTGTGGTAGTCTGTTATGGCAGCTCTAGCAAACGAATATACCTACATTCATAATGGAAGGAAGTGCTAAATTTCAGCTAGAGTTTAGTGAAAATAAAAATGTATGTTTTTCCCATCCACATTCATGGATCTCCTGAATTCTATCCATGAATCCCTTGGTGAGCTGGAAAAGTTAACAAAGTAACCTTTGTAATAAATGCTCTCCCTAGGCTTGGAGAGAAAAATGTTTAGATTGTTTTCCTATATGATGCGGCTCCACACCACTGGCCTGCTCTCCCTTAGCCCCCAACCCCTCAATTTGGGTCCAGACCTCACTAGGACCTTTTATTCACAGTTCTTGTCAGTCTCTTGACAGTGCTCTAGAATCAAATATCATCAGGAGAGAGCAGGTTGGCTATGCTAGGAGCCATTGGCTTTCAGAGGTCTGGGGGATGCCCAGTGACCACAGAAGGCCCTGCCAAGTTCAGATCCTTCATTGATTTAGGATCCTCCGTTTCTAGAACAAGCCAAATGCCTTGCTCAACAGATACTTTCAGGATCTCCCAGGCCAATAAGCCTGAATTTTTGAGTTCTTGAGCCAAATAATTTTTCATATTGCCTTTAAGTAGAATTTTTTCTAGGTCTTATGTACTAGGTTTCTCCTTAGAAATTTCTGGAAGGCGCTTCTAACTAATCATCTTTTAAAAGCAATTTGGTGGAGGAGGAGGGAAGAAATGTCTCTGACACAGTGATGGGTGTAATTTTGGGGATCTTTCCTCTTGGTCTAAAAGCCACTTTAAATATTAAACTAAAATGATTCCTAGCACCGTGGTCCATCTGGTGGGAAGAATTTGATGGTTTGCTTCCTGCACGCATCTCTGGCACATCACATATTTTCATGCTCAGATATT